AGGGATTTTAGCTGCCCACATCTAACAATCTTTATCCACGTGGGAGAAGGATGTGGAAAGTGAAAAATTGGTTTGATGGGGTTATTTTGAAGGGGAGAGTACCCAAACCCAATGATGTAACTAGTAGTAGATATCAATACCATTAATTGCCCCCTTACCAATAGGAAAAATTGTTTGTGACTGTTGTATGATGTTGGTTGAATACCGGGCTCATCAATTGCCCCCTTACCAATAGGAAAATTAAGGTTAATACCAAAGTTTCCTATTGGTAACCATATCATTAGCTAAGTGATAGTAAATCATGTTATGAACACAGACACAAATTGGGCAAGCAATTGTTGGAGAGCCAAGTCAATCATGGTAGAAGGGACACCATCGTAGCTAGCGATCATGGAAAGCCGTGTCGATTAGGACAGGCACGCCGCACCAGTCGTGGTGGGCACCATGCGAAATCGTGCCAATCTTGGTAGGCGACCCAACCAATCATTTCAGGCTACCAGTGCCAATTGATGCGGCCTTATTATGTGTTTAGTGTTGTCCATGTATGAGCGATAAGGACAATAATTTGGGTTATGCAACATCATAGGAGAATTTTGATATCAAGTATAAATGAGAGTTTAGGAGGGATTACCAGATAGTTTTTGAGTTTACAAAAACTTTCTCATACTTGGATTTTTCTCGATTGGAGCATGAAAATGGAAGAGGTTCCCCTGCCAGATTGGTGATGATGATGCAAAAGTTGTCCCGTCATGATTCGGAAGAGATGGGAGGCAGTGTGGGTGAAAAAGTTGATCTTTTCTTCACAATAGCAATTCGCGGGGAATTGAACCCTGACCTCATTGATGGAGGTGTTTCTACTTAAAAAGTAGACCACATGGGCTTCCTCGTAAAACTTAGGTCTTACGAGAGGCAAACCGAAATTGGTGCCCCCACGGCCTCGTTGTGAATTCCACGACATCAGGTTTCTCCATCATCTCTCCTAGTGGGTGTGACGTTGACAATGATAATTTGTAAAAAATTTCACCGGGCTCCATAGCAAGCGCAAATTGTTGATGGAACTTTTCATCAAGGCTCACTATATGTGCCAATTGTTGATGTCAGGGCGCCATTCCATGAGAGTACTTGAGGATCCTATGATTTCGCGGCAAATCGACAGAGAAACTAGTGGGGTTGAGGGCCCGTAGTTCCAAACCAAAGATTGACACAACTCAATCTTGGTCGAGAGATCCTCGATTCTTGGAGATAGCAAATTGATTGATATTTGGAGTTGTATCTTGACGAATCCCTTCTTTCGGTTGCATATCCTGCATGCCCATCTCGTTGGGATCCTCGATTTTTGAAGATAACGACTTGATTGATGTTGGGAGTTTCATCTTGACAAATCCCTTCTTCGGATTGCAGATCCTGCATTTCCATCTCGGTGGGATCCTCGATTCTTGGAGATAGCAACTCGATTGATGTTTGGAGTTGCATCTTGATGAATCCCATCTTCGGGTTGCAGATCATGCATGCCCATCTCGTTGGGATCCTCGATTCTTGAAGATAGCAACTTGATTGATGTTTGGAGTTGTATCTTGACGAATCCCATCTTCGGGTTGCAGATCCTGCATGTCCATCTCGTTTTGATGGATTGGCGATTTGTTGGTATTAATCTCACCGGGCCCCACGGTGGGCGCCAATTGTTGATGCCAAGCTCCGAGGAGCCTGCTTCAATGTGATTGAGGCCGGTGAGCGCTGTCCTCCTGGCCAACGTCCGCCGCCAGCCTCCGAGATGGACACCTGCAAAACAAGAGGAACCCGCCGGCCAGTGGTCGGCGGGGACCTGCTCCGAAGCTCAAGTCAGTATTGAGAGGAGAGTAGCCGGGAGCGGCATAGTAAGCCGGCTTTAGAGAGAGATTCAGAGTTTTATCCGAGAATGAACTGTCGAGAAAGCATAAATAAGCATCCTATTTATAGGTGTCTCCGGCTTCTGACATGGGTGGTGTGGTCATAATAAAATAATAAAATACATGTACCTCCCATCCTTCAGTGCAATGGATGGTTGGCTAAAAAGAAGATCACTTACCTTTCTCTTTTCCCTTCAGCGTGTAGTAAGTGGGGAAATTAAACCCAACCATGCATCCAATTAATGGTGGTAGACAAAGATACATATCCCCTCTCATCTTTTGCTTTTCCTACGTGTAAGTTAATGGCAGCATGGAAGTGGGTTGTTTGGGATAAATAACTTGATGATTAATCATTTAACCCATCCATGATCCACCTCATGTCCACGTGTTAAGATTAAAGGAGTTGGGTGGGCTTATTTGTGTTTGCTAAGCAAATGTAATTCATCAAACAACTCTTCTCAATGCCACGTGTTAAAAAAAAGGACCAAATGAGATGGGTTGCTTAAGGCCACTTTACTAATCACCCATCTCATGCATTATGTGTAATTACTAATTAGTATGGCATGGGATGATGGGAATGTAGTTGGGTTTGTTTGATGAGGGATTCTAGCTGCCCACATCTAACAATCTTTATCCACGTGGGAGAAGGATGTGGAAAGTGAAAAATTGGTTTGATGGGGTTATTTTGAAGGGGAGAGTACCCAAACCCAATGATGTAACTAGTAGTAGATACCAATACCATTAATTGCCCCCTTACCAATAGGAAAAATGGTTTGTGACTGTTGTATGATGTTGGTTGAATACCGGGCTCTCCCTCTCTCATTGCCGAACCCCTCTTCCCTCTCCAACCCCCCCGGTGACCGGATTCCTCTTCTCTCAACCCTAATTCCCAAATTCTACCTCACCCAAATCCCTAATTCTCGTACTAATCACGATCCTCAATCGCACACCTAGATCCGTGCTCTTTCAACAAGTTTTGCAACACATTTTTGTAAAATGGGCAACGCTTTTTTTAACTTTTGGCAACCGTAAAGGAAGGTTTGGGCATGAGTTCGGGGCCAATTTCACGCTAGGTTGTTCTTGTTTGTGATATTTCAGGTCCTAGTACGTGAAGGAAGGTTTGGGCATGAGTTCGGGGCCGATTACGAAGTTGGGACGTTTGACGAAAAGCTGGAAATTCCACACGGGCAGATCTAAATTCCACACGGCCGTGTGACTTGGCCGTGTGGAATCCCTTTGCGCGGGCAAGCCACACTGGCCGTGTAAAGGGCCCTTTTTGGCCGTGTGGAATTCCCAGGGAGTTCACACGGACAGACCTAAATTCCATACGGCCGTGTGGTTTTGGCCGTGTAGCGTACTGGGAGCCACTAAATCGAATGCGGCGTTTTGGAGAGCCACACGGGCAGACCTAAATTTCACACGACCGTGTGGCCTGACCGTGTAGTCGTGGAATTCTGGGTTTTAACCTAATTTCGGGTCTTTTGAATGGAGGATCGATTTTCAGAGCAACAAACAGAGTCCTAGAGAGAGAAAGTGCAAAGACCAAACCTTAGAGGTGATTTTGGAGCTGAGTTTCATCAATCAAGCTTGGATTTCATCCTTGGAGTGAAGATTATCATCCCAGAGCAGATTCTTCCCATCTTAATGAGTATGACTGCTTTGTTTTCTGTTTTCCTCCCTCTCTGTGGAGTAGAACCCTCTCTCACTTGGGTATGAAGAACCCTAGTTCCATGTATCAGGGATATCGATTGTAATGACGTTTGGATTGTTATACTGCTTGATTATAATCGATTGAAGTGTTTTGATTGAGTCAATGGAAGTATGATCATCTTTTATTGATTTCTGCTGCAACCTGAGATAGATAGAATCTGATTAGGTTGTTAGAGCTTCTTCAATCGGTAGTAGTGAATTGATTATACGAGAGTTAGTCGATTCACTACTTTGTACTGGAATCCAATTCTAGTAGTGGAGTTCAGTGTTAATTGCTTCAGCGTTCTATTCTGGTGAAGACTAGTCGTCTGCCGGGTAGTCTGTCTGAGAGAGCTTGGTCAGCTTAAGAGAGTCCAAGCTACTGTTGGATCTTCCGCAGTTTAATCAACAGTAAATCAACCAAAGGTAATTACAACTTTACCTAACTAAGGAGCTAGGGGGACTCATTTCCGAGTGACTCTTCCCTTGCTTAAGAACTTCGAACCATTTCCTGCTTTCTTACTGTTTTAGCTTAAAATCACATTCACTCAACTTAGTCTTGCTAGATAATAGATAATCACGGAGTAGGCAGTAGATCTAGACCCCCGGTTGATAAATAGAACTTGCCACTATTTTGCATTTGCGGACTGCGATTGCACTTGGTCGCAGTTTGGTGTTGTGTTTTAGCGTGTCAATGTGACAGGTTTAAATCGTCACGAATAACTAACACAGTTGTGACAACATTGTTCGTAACAAAAATCAGAACTTGCGTGACAATATTATCGTCAATAAAATTTCTTTTGTGATGAGGTAGTCCAGTCACGAAATCTACCATTGTGCCATGTCTAATTGTCACGAATAGCTACAGGTGTGATCATAATTATGTCACAAATACACACTTTGAATTTCAATGTAAGATTTATGGGTCGAGTTGGTTGTCACTATAGTAACTATTTGTGACTAAGTTTACTGTCACGTATGTCCCCATGTGTGTGACGAATTTCGATAGTCACTTACAATATACTTTTGTGACTGTCTAACTTTCACAAAAGAATCATTTTGTGACAAGTTTTGTTATCACGCAAACACCGTACTTACCACAAACTTCATTCATTTGTGACCAACATTTTGTTGCAAAATGGTATATTTGGTGACAGCTTTAGTAATCACTCAAAAGCAACATTGGTGATAAATTGAGAGCACGAAATTCGCAAATCGCATTCATTGGTGACCAACCTTTCATCGCAAAAGGTTAGCGTTTGTGACAACTTTGCGAGTCACTAGTAAAGCAATGGTTACTCGTCCAAATTGATATATATATATATATATATATATATATATATATATATATATATATATATATATATATATAGTAAAGGCTAGTGTATGATCACCTATAACATATACTTCAATATACTCCGAGGAATACGTCGGCTATTATTATATATATAACGCTTGTCATACTATATATTCCTATTTCAGGAAGGTATAACAAATGTAGATTTACACCATATAATACTTTGTTATGGTACGTACGGCTCAAGATGTATATACAAAAGATTGATTGTTTTGTGTTTCACCTTCTATTCTCCGCGTACGAATATGTTATAGTAAATTGCCTTCATACATTAGCAAACAGCCGATAAGTCTTGGCGTCGAGGCTCATCTGCCTGACGGCGGCAACAGCGGAAATCGCTCCTATCGCCGAGAAAACGATGGCAATGGTAGAGTTGAGCCAGAAAACAATGCTCCTTTTGGAAGGCTTAAACGTTAGGTTATAGAAAACAACGGGCAGGATGAAGTCCAGAGGGATGAAACCAAAAGCTCCAATCAGGGCGTTGATATCTCCGAAGAAGGGCAGCATTGCAGCTACGACAGTTGCAACGACGACCGATAGAGACCTCGACACCACCCTCGGGACGACGTTTCGCACCGAGAACTGTTTGCTCCTCGGATCAGCGAAGGTTCCTTCCAACACCTCATTTGTTGGCTGCAAATATACCTGCACGATCCAACGTTCAAACCGGAGTAGTTAGAGATTAGACGTAGGCAATATAGTCAAATTCGCGATATAAAATATAAAATTTTATACTTTTTATTTCAGCAAAGCATTCAAAATCTACAGTTTAAATCTTAAGAACTTTTTTTTTAATTCTTTTAAGTAGCGAAAACACTCCTATAAAAAAAATCACGATTTTGCCATGCAAGAAAGAAAGTAAATTTCAAATGATATCCGCATTGTTCACAAATATTCAGTCTCGACTTTAAAAAAAATAATAATAATGTAATCCATAACAAATTTCGCATTGAATCCATAAATGTATGTATTTTTCAGTTACATCGAGATTAGAACTTTCTCGTGGATCGTTCGAACTTTCTCGTATAGTTAAATCATTACCGCATGCGTGCTAATTCTTAAACGGGAAATCTTATTTTCACTACAAATCGAACTATAAATGTAACTTTCACTATAATTGCCACTATCAGTTAAAATATAGCTATCAATGCATATTTGAGAACGAAGATAATTGTCAATGCAATGCAACTATTGATGTAATTATTCCATTTAATATCATATAGAGAATGATCATCATCACTCCTAGAATTGTTATTCAGATAAGGGGAATTCCAATAACTAGAAAAGTAGCTATCTAATTTACTTAGGAAGAAAAAAAATGATCATTATCAATCTCAAAAACTTAGATTTTCAATATCAAATTATATGGAATAATTGATAAACAATACTTACCACGGCCACGGCGGATAGCTGAAGAATGGTGAAGACGTTGGTCATCAGGACAAACCATTTGGGGACGAGAGGCCTGCCATTGTCCACGAAGTTGCTGAGCACGAGCCCATCGGCCCGGTTACCGAAAGCCCAATACCCCGAGACACCGACGCTGAAGAACGTCGCCAAAATGACTGCGTAGCATATGCATAGCCCTTTGAACATCTTGCCCTTGACGGGCGCCGCCACGGTGGCCTGAATCTCCGGGATGATGCCGTTGCCGTAGGTGGTGCCGATGATGGCGATGGCGTTGAAGATCCCGAACAGCCTGTCTTGCGTGCTGTCTCCCGGGAGGGAATATTCCTTCGGCTGCGACGAGGAGGAGGAGGAGGAGCTTCCGATGTGGACGGCGGCGGCGGTGGCGCAGGCGCTGTAGGCGAGGCAGAGGAGCAAGGAGACCAAGTTGATGTGGCGGAGGGAGTGGAACGACGGGATTTGTGCGAGTATCAGCATGAAGCAACCGAAGATCGTTACGAATACGTAGAGCTTTAGTGTGCCGTCCGGCTTTGACAGCACGTAAATTGCCTACAGAAATGGAAAGTTAAAATTTGATTGGGGACGAGACGAGAAAAGTGGAATTTGGGACAGACCGACCTTCATGCATTGACCTCCAAGAAGAATACAGGCAACAACAGCGCCATAGCAAACCATGAACTGAACTGGGCCGACATAGTAACGGCCCCATCTTGGACCTGCGAGGATCAGGGAAGAGAGAGAAGCGTTTGAGAATTGGGCCCATGCGCAATTCAACCCCGAAAACATTAGCCCAATGGAATTGGGCTCGTGCGATACAGCGGAGTAAATTCCAAAATAGGTTAATGATAAATCAAAGATTGCAGGGCGAAAATAATTTATGATATACGATTAATTTAAAAAGGCATCACAAATTTGTTGTGAATGTGCGGGATGGATCCTTGTCCAACCCGGCTGTGGTCTATGAGAACGTGTTTGACCATCGTTGAATGGACGTAATGACAATTGCGTAAATTAAAGTGTTATTGTACTCATAATTTACTGTAGTTGGTGCGTCTATGAGCACCTCTTACAAATGGGGATGACAGACGGTCTCTATGATCACTGAGATGGTTCTCACATATCGATTATGAGCGGTATAGCAAAATTGGAAAGAAGACAATGGGTAAAAAAGAAATTTCTTAAATTGATTATTAGTTTGGATTGTATCAGCGGGTCAAATTCTGTACACTGATGACAAAAAAAAACGACAGCTTTTGGTGGTGGAAAACAACATGTACACCCATAAACAAAACAATATCACCATTATATGTGTTTAACACGTGAACTCTGTGTTTTGATTTGAGGCAACCTACTGAACTGTCTAAACCCGTCTCTGTCCAACTCTAAAGGGTCAAACATGATCAACAAGAACGAAACGAGTCAGTTATACAAATTCACTCTTCATAGACGGGGCAGAGTCAGGCCAATTTACAACCCTACCTATGGCTATGGCCAAGTTGACTCAACGAAGGGGGAAATGGATGGTCAAAGTAAACGGATACCAAAAAGACTAAAAGAGCCCCGGCTGGGGTAGTTTTTATTTTTATTTTTGGTAGAAACTGGGTTAGTTTTTTAGATAATATACTTACCGAGGATTTGGTTGGCCATGTCTCTGAAGCGGAGCTGGCGGCGGCCCATTGCGGCCTGGTGCTCGAGGACCAAGGACAGCAAGTTGTAGGAGTAGAAAGTGACCAGCGCTGCCACCACCAGGCTCACGATCCCGCCGGCCCAGCCCAGCAGTGTGAGCGCGAACGGCAGGCTCAGCAGCGGCGGCGCCACGATTGAGGTCGTCAAGTGATACCCGCAATGCACCCACGAACCTACAAATACAGTTGCAATTGTGTAAATATCCACTGGTCAACTACCCTTTTCGGTCTTTGCATGGTTGACTAGTGTTTTGTGGCGGCCTGGCATACCTTTGGATTCGAGAACGAAAAGCGCTCCGGCGTCCAGCTCTGCCTTCTGCGGAGGATCTGATGAGGCGGCGGCGGCTGCTCCGCCGTCTTGATGAAGCGTTGGGTCGGTTTCCCCCGTCCCAGCCATCTCTCTCTCTCTCTCTCTCTTCACACTTCTTCTGCCTTCCGCTTTCGTGGAGATGCTTAACACGATAAATGGAATCTCTCTATACTTAGGCCTCGATATATTTTGGTGGGTTCTTTTCCAAACGAATCGACAGCATGCAAGGGTTTATATAAAAACTGGCTGGTGCCAGGCCCTTGGCTGGCATTGTTTTTTTGTTTTTGTTTTTTGTTTTTATCATATACTTATCTTGGTTAGTCTCATCCTCAACTTAAATCAATAATGTCAACGTTTTAGTTTGATTATAGCTTAATTAAATTTAGGTTGGAATTTTTCATACTCTACATAAACACTCTAATTTTGGAATGCACGTTTTTTTCTATAAAGCACTCAAATATTAATTGAGGATGACTCTATCTACCTTTCTTTTTAATATTTTAATTCTTGATTTATTTAGTATAATCAAGAATATTAAATATTAAGAAAAAAGAAAGATGAATCTATTAATAACAAACTGACATGTGAATAGTTGAAACTTTTAGAATCAGAGGAAAGGGAAAATGTGGAGAAAATGAAATTTATAAACCTGCCGCCGGTATGCAATGAGATGGAAACTTGGGTTGGAACTTGGAAAGCATATTACTCACTCCACTATTTCTTTCACTTCTATAAACAAATAGAAAATTTTTAGCTTCAATCTTGAGTAACAGTAATTGGAATTCATCGTAGAAACATACTATTTTCAGCAGTCCTTCATCTTCTTATCGAAACTTGGCTACAACAATAATTTGTTATTGTTCTCTAGATTTTCGTCTATGATTTTTTTTGCACAAATTAATATATAAAAATTTAGGTTGCGAGTTACATTAGTGACTCTCACACTCCAAGTGCAAGCGGGAAAGTTTCACGCCCTTCTTTCACCACTCTCCATTCTACAAGCTTTGTGTTTAGTTATTGTTCGCTAGGTTTTCGCCTACCTTTTTTTTTTACAAATCATCACATTTGCATTTTGTTATTGTTCCCTTTAATAATAATAATAATATATAAAAGTCTACGTTGTGAGTTACTATTCATTAGTGACTCTCACTCCTCCTAATGCAAGTGAGAAAGTTTCAAGCCCTTCTTTTACCTCATTCTCCATTTTACAATCTTTGTGTTTAGTTATTGTTCGCTAGGTTTTCGTCTACCTTTTTTTACAAATCATCGCCTTTGTATTTTATTATTGTTCCCTAGGTTTTCGGCTATGACTTTTTGCACAAATCATTAATTATTAATATATAAAAGCCTATGTTGTGAGTTACTATTCATTAGTGACTATCACACTCCTCCAGTGCAAGTGAGAAAGTTTCAAGCCCTTCCTTTACCCCCACTCTTCATTCTACAACCTTTGTGTTTAGCTATTGTTCCCTAGGTTTTCTTCTATGACTTTTTGCACAAATCATCGCCTTTGTGTTTAGTTATTGTTCGCTAAGTTTTCGTCTATGGCTTTTTGCATAAATCATCGCATTTGCCTACCATTTTGCAGCCCATCTCGAAATACTGTCGACGAAATCCTACATTGTTCCCCACCACCGTTTCCCAAGGCCGCTACCACGAGTTTTGTATCGAGACCGAGTTTCATACTCTTTAATTTTTTTTTCTTTTCTCTTTTTTATTGAGCATTATCACAATCGAACCCAAACACATGGGTATTCTAACTTGAACAAAAACCATCGCCTTTGTCCACCATTCTACAGGCTACAGCCCGTCTTGAAATACAGTCGCTGGAATCCTACGTTCTTTCCCACCATTGTTTCCCAAGGCCGCTAGCACGAGTTTTGTATCGGGACCGAGTTTCATCCTTTTTAGTGTTTTTTTCTTTCTCTTTTTCCTTTTTGTTGAGCATGATCACAATTGAACCCAATGTCGCTACCAAAAATCTATACCATATCTACTTAATGTTGGCGAGTATTGTATCGGGACCGAGTTTTGTTCGCTTTAGTATTTTTTTTCTTCTTTCACTTTTTCCTTTTTGTTGGGGTCATGAGCGAGTTTATCCGCTTTGGTATTTTTTATCTTTTCATTTTGGTTGTGAATGACAATTGAGTCCAAACGCATGGGTATACAACCTAATTTGACCGGACTAAAGCGACTTAAACCCAATTTTACAGGTTTCATTAGTGGCTCTAACATGCGAGTTACTATGCATTAGAGGCTCTCACACTCCTCCAAGTGCAAGTGGGGAAATTCAAAGCCCTTCTTTTACCACACTCTCCATTCTACAACCTTGGTGTTTAGTTATTGTTCGCTAGGTTTTCATCTATCTCTTTTTGTACAAATCATCGCCTTTGTGTTTTGTTATTGTTCGCCAGATTTTCGTCTATGACTTTTTGCACAAATCATCGCATTTGTATTTAGTTATTGTTTGCTAGTTTTTCGTCTATGACATTTTGCACAAATCATCGTCTTTCCCTACCATTTTGCAGCCCATCTCAGAAATTAATTTAATATATAAAAGTCTAACATGGGAGTTACTATTCATTAGTGGCTCTCACACTCCTCCAAGTGCAAGTGAAAAAGTTCATAGCCCTTCTTTTACCCCATTCTCCATTCTATAACCTTTGTGTTTAGTTATTGTTCGCTAGGTTTTCGTCTATCACTTTTGTACATATCATAACCTTTGTATTTTGTTATTGTTCGCTAGGCTTTCTTCTATTACTTTTTGCACAAATCTGTGCTTTTGCGTTTATTTATTGTTCACTAGGTTTTCCTCTATGGCTTTTTGCACAAATCATCGCTTTTTCCTACCATTTTGCAGCTCATCTCGAAATACCGTCGGCGGAATCCTACGTTGTTCCACACCGTTGTTTTCCAAGACCGCTACCACGAGTTATGTATCAGGACCGAGTTTCATACTCTTTAAATTTTTTCTTTCTTTGTTTCATGTTTGTTGAGCATGATCCCAATTGAACACAAACACATGGGTATCCTAACTTGAACACAAATCATTGCCTTTTCCCACCATTCTGCAGCCCATCTCGAAATACTGTTGGCGGAATGCTAAGTTGTTCCCCACCATCGTTTTCCAAAACCGCTAACACGAGTTTTGTATCAGGACCGAGTTTCATCCTCTTTATTGTTTTTTCTTCCTCTTTTTCCTTTTTGTTTAGCATGATCACAATTGAACCCAATGCCGCTACCGAAAATCCAAACCATATCTACTCAATGTTGGCGAGTTTTGTATCGGGACCGAGTTTCGTTCGCTTTAGTGTTTTTTCTTTCACTTTTTCCTTTTTGTTGGGTCGTGAGCAAGTTTTATACGCTTTAGTAGTTTTTATCTTTGCATTTTGGTTGCGAATGACAATTGAGTCAAAATGCATGAGTATACAACCTAATTTGACCTGAATAAAGCTACTTAAACCCAATTTTACAGGTTTCATTAGTGGCTCTAACATGGGAGTTACTATTCGTTAGTGGCTCTCACACTACTCCAAGTTCTACAACCTTTGTGTTTAGTTATTGTTCGCTAGGTTTTCGTCTATCGCTTTTTGTACAAATCATCACCTTTCTGTTTTGTTATTGTTCGCTAGATTTTCGTCTATGACTTTTTGCACAAATCATCGCCTTTGTGTTTAGTTATTGTTCGCTAGGTTTTCGTCTATGACTTTTTGTACAAATCATCGCCTTTGCCTACCATTTTGCAGCCCATCTCGAAATATTGTCGACGGAATCCAACGTTTTTCCACACCACCATTTCCCAAGGTCGCTACCATGAGTTTTGTATCGGGACCGAGTTTCATACTCTGTAATTTTTTTTTCTTTCTTTGATTCCTTTTTGTTGAGCATGACCACAATTGAACCCAAACACATGGGTATCCTAACTTGAAAATAAATCATCGCCTTTGCCCACCATTCTGCAGCCCATCTCGAAATACTGTCTGTGGTATCCTAAGTTGTTCCCCACCATTGTTTCCCAAGGCCGCTACCACAAGTTTTGTATCTGGACCGAGTTTCATCCTCTTTAGTATTTTTTTTCTTTCTTTTTTCCTTTTTGTTGAGCGTGATCAAAATTGAAACCAATGCCACTGCCGAAAATCCATACCATATCTACTCAATGTTGCCGAGTTTTGTATCGGGACCAAGTTTCGTTCGCTTTAGTGTTTTTTTCTTTCACTTTTTTCTTTTTGTTGGGGTCATGAGCGAGTTTTATCGGCTTTAGTATTTTTTTATCATTTTCATTTTGGTTGAGAATGACAATTGAGTCCAAATGCATGGGTATACAACCTAATTTGACCTGACTAAAGCGACTTAAACCCAATTTTACATGTTTTCGACGGGAGCGAGTTTTATCTGTTTTTTGTAATTGGCCTGTTGTGTCAGGTATGAATTTGTCCAAAAGTCGGTCCAACCAGGTCAAAGTAAGTTGAACCTGGTGTTGACGAGTTTTGAGTCGGTAGCGAGTTTTAGCTGTAGTGGTTTTCATTTTGCTTTTTCTTTTGTTTGAGAAAGACAATCAAACCCAAATCCATGGGTATCCAACCTAATTGGACCCGATCAAGGCGAGTTTAACCTCTTTAAACCTGCAATTAGTTCAAAAAATTTACAAAGGAGAACCACGATTACCTCAAACAAAAAAAACAAAAAAGAGTACAACTATGTTTGGCCCAAATTTTAGAGGTTTTATGTTTCAAAAGTTGAATCCAAGCCAAACACCTCTAAAGTTTCGCTTTTTAAAAAACAGAAGTTTTTTCGTAACTTAAAAGCAGAAGTTCCGATTTGAAAATACAAAATTGTCCTTACTATATATTATTCTTTTTCTAGAAAACATAATTTTTTTCATTTATATCATTATAAAAAAATGAATTGAAAAATAGTATTATTTAATATGAAATAAATCTAACCTGAATCATTTTTAAATACTTTTTTATCTTTAGAATTTGTATTTTATGTTAGAAATCTTTTTAGAGATTTTTTATTACCTCTTATATTAGAAAGTAATTATGATAGTTTTTAGCTAAACACTTAACAATTTTTTTTAATACTTCTTGAAAAGATTCTAGAAGCTGCTTCATTCTGCAAAAATTACAGTAGGATCAAC